ACTGTTCTAACATCTCAAAAAATGTTCGTGCTTCTTTGCCAGAAGCCATACGTCTGTAGAATGTTACAGACTGTGTGGTTACATGTTTTTACAATGCCAATAGTCAGCCCCTGCTTCTGAGTGCTGGGATTTAATGTGTGCACCACCACACCTGGCCAGAAGCTATTTCTAAAGCAAAATTTGGAATGTTTGACTTCGAAGAATAAATCTATAGTTCTGTCTTGGTTAGAGTTACTATTATTGTGTGAAACACCAGGACCAAAGCAACTTAGCTGGGAAAGGGTTTCTCCAGCTTAGGTTTCCACATCGCAGTTCATCATTAAAGGAAGGCAGGGCAGGAACCTGGAGGCGGCAGCTGATGCAGAGGCCATGGAGGAATATTGCTTACTGGCTTGCTCAACCTGCTTTCTTTATAGAACCCAGGACCTCAGTCCAGAAACAGCCCCACCCATAATAGGCTGGGTCCTCTCCCATCAACCACTAATTTTAAAAAAAAAATGGCTTATAGGAAAACTGGGCATTGGTGACTGCACGCCTTTAATCCCAGCAGAGGCAAAGCGGAGTTTTGAGTTTGAGGCCAACCTGGTCTACAAGAGCTAGTTCCAGGACAGGCTCAAAGCTACAAAGAAACCCTGTCTTGAAAAACCAAAATAAAATAAAATAAAATTTAAAAAATGCCCTACGGGCCTGCCTGCAGCCAGATCTTATGGAGGTGTTTTCTTAATTTAGGCAGGCTTCCTCCACTCTGATGTCTCTAGCTTGAAACCAACGGGTCCAAGAGCCAACAATGAAACTCTGAAGTCCCTTCCGAACTTAGGGAACACTGCTGGCTATTGTAAGCAGACTCTGGACCAGTGTATCTTACACATGCGTTAACAAAATGCTTGTTTGTCAGAGGAAACAGGTGAAAAAGCAACTGATACCGCTGACGTGGAAAGAGGAAAAAAATGTCCCTGAAGTAAAACTGCTCAAGATGGAAGCTCACTCTTTTCTTCTCCACCCAGGATCAGCCCACTTCCAGGGGTACATACCCCCAAACTGACGTCCCTTTGTGGTTGCCAAATCTGGGGGTCACAGCTTATGCTCTGACTGCCAGTCCTCAATAAGCCAGGGAGAGGGACAAACAGGTACAGAGAGAGCCCCCAAGTCTGTCTTCCAGGGGCCTCAAGTGAGATTACAGTTTCAGGAGAGAGCAAAGATGGGCATCTGAAAGGAGTGCTGGCCGAGGTGTGGTTCTGCCCACCAGTGAGCCACCCTTGGCTGGGCTTCTGTCTCATTCTGTAAGGTGTTCTGCCAAGTCACTGTGTGAAGTCTCTTCTGCCAAGTCCCGCCCCCCCCCCCAATGGCGCCTTTTCCCTCCGCATATTCTGGAAGAATCTCCCTTTCCTTCGGGGTCCATGATACCCAATAGTCCAACTGAGAGCCACAAGTGTCTCCTTAGAACCCCTTCATTTCTGCCGGCTACCAAAGACCTCGGCTGACCTGCCGAGGAGAGAGTAACCTAGTCTGCCTGACCCCAGAGGCTGACTCCAAAGCTAACCCCAGAAAGTCACCCAAGGTCAGTTCTGGGCTCTAACTCTCACTGCACAGCCCCAACTTCTATCCAGGTCCAAGATCCAATGATAACAGCCTGAGGAGAAAACACAAAACAAAAAACCAGCATCCGCGGTCATGGCTGGATGCCAAGTGCCTAATCCTGGCTCTGGATTCCTCTTTTATCTGGGCCTCGGCTTCCCCATCCATATAGACCAGGCCGTCTATAACTGGGTTAAATGGTGGTACAGTGATTTCCCAACTCCTGTCCCTGTCATCCCAAGTGTATCTAGAGCCTTCCCCCTTGGCCTGGGTGGTCCTTAGGAAGAGGGTTCTGGCCCCAGTTTCAGAATTTAGAGTTGGCAAAGGGACCAAGAGAACGAGGGGACCGAGCCAGCCATGGAAGCCACTAATCTCCATTCTCCCCCCCCCACTCCACCCCAGGGGACTACACAGCCGCCTCCGCTGAAAGCAATTTGTCATGCCCTGAATTAAGTGATTCCAACAAGGGTTTAATTTCAGTTTAATGGCTCTGTTTTTATGTGTAATTAAATACCATTGCATGGTGAAAATATGTTGTTTGCACTTTAGAGACTGTGTAAGGGGCCTGGGAAGCCAGTCCCTGGGAGTTTCGACTCCCAGGCTCCTGTCAGCCTGCCTGGGATTGTCTAGGTGGGGGTGGGGAGATGACCTGAGGACCTGAGGAAAGAAGGCGCAGTGGGGGGGGGGGGGATGGTGGTCCTCATGGCGCCTGCCACTCAGAAGAGTATGTTTCTAATTATCTGCATATCCCCCCACCTCTGCCCTCTGACCTCAACCCTCCCCGGCCCCTGGGGCCTCAGACACAGAGTGGGCAGGATTGAATTAGACCCTTGGTTCACTGAGGTGCTGTCTGGCCCCTACTAGCATTGTGCCCAGAGGCTGGTTTCTTTGTTTCCCCTCCATTTGTGGTCCTCCCAAACTGCCCCTTCCCTCCCAACTCCCTGTGAGGACTGAGCCTCTCAGCTGCTGCTGGCCTCCCAGCTCCTTCAATCCACTCCATCCCTACATAGTGGGAATTTCTTTAGCTAGGAATGTTTGGGGGTCATTGTGCCAAGCAACCATGTGCCTTCCAGGAAGGGGAACTCTGGAGGTGCATACCTCAAGACATTCCTGGAGCAGCTTGGTGGCAGTGGGCCAGAGGGCTGGGGTGATAGACTTTTCTTGGAAGGAGGCTAGGGAATGGCAGAGGCTAAGGCTCAGGACCCTTCCAGATGATGACAGGATGGAGGGCTGACCCGCCCTCAGCAGACCAGGGTTTGATCTCCACTAAGAGATGGGAAATAGAAACTGAAGGCCAGGACATGGGTGAGCTAAGGGACCCCCCACCCAGACCCTTGTGCCGAGCCAGGAAAAGGAAGAAACATTCTTTTCATATTTCTATGTGTGTGTAAGAGAAAGACAGAATGAGGGTGTAATGTGTGAACATGTGGGCCTGCGTGTGTCATTGCACACACATCATTGCTTGCCTATGGAGGTCAGAAGAAAACTCGCAGGAGTTGATTCTCTCCTTCCACCACGTGAGTCCCAAGAACCGAACTCAGATCTTCAGGCTTGGTGGCAAGTGCCTTTGCCCACGGAGCCACCTTTCTAGTCCAGAAATAAGTTTCTTGTGGAGGAGAGCCGCAGACAGGACCTCAGTTCTCAAGGTGCAGTGACCCCACAAGGGCACCAAAGTTTGGTCCTTGCCTCCTCTCTCCTAAGCTGCTAGCTCTGGGACTAGAGGGACCATTCAAGGACATGCAGAGGCTAGGGCAGGAGGGCGCCTCAGAATCTGGCAATGGTGTGCTAACATGGTGTTGCTTTTATTTGCTTTGACGCTTGGGACCTGGCCTCAAGACCATGGGACAAGTTATCCAGGAAAGGAGGGGTGTTTGTGTGAAATGTGGAGCCACTCCAAAGCACACAGCCTCGGTTATCTGGTGCTAGACACCCCCCTCAAGCTCCATACTCTGTGGATGTCACACTGTCTCTCCTGTCACGCAGGAGAGCCTCCATTGGACAGATTCATAGAGCCCAGATACCAGTTATACAGGTGTGTGCCTCGGCTACATTCATCACACAGATAATATGTTATATGTACCTGTAAAAGCCCATCCTCCCCCAGTTCGGGAATCACTAAACCACACTCAAACATGCATGCATGCGCACATACGGCACACACACAGACACGGGCCACTGTGTTACTAAGTTACTAAGCTAGGCTCTGCCTTCTTTCGGAGGTTTCTTAGAGAAAAGAAGAAACCATCCTGAAGGGTGCAAGGCCAGAGCTCAGCGAGAGGGGCTAAGGAAGCTGTGCCTTGAGGAAATGCTTGCCTGTGCTTGGCTGAGGGACCCAAAACTTAACCTTCAGGCTATACCACCCCACTACCTCAACATGCCTTGGCCTGGACCCCACAAGGAGGAGGCCAGGGACTGGGGGAACATTCTCTACAGGACTGTATTCTTTATCTCCTGTTGCTGGCAGTGGACGGGTGCCGCAGGACCACCAGACCGCTGCAGGCTGTCCTGCGGAGGTCAAGTTAGCGATCTAGGGAGACCTAGGGAGACTACAGTCTCAGAAGAAAGCCCAGATAATAAAGAATTTAGGAGCCAGGCATGGTGGTGCACGCCTTTAGTCCCAGCTCTCGGGAGGCAGAGGCAGGTAGATCTCTATGAATTTGAGGCCAGCTGATCTACTAAGAGTTCCAGGACAGTCAGGGCTACACAGAAAAACCCTGTATATGCATGGCAGGTGGGGGAAGTTGGGAGCCAATGATGTTTGAAGCCTAGGAGGGGACTAGCTCAGGGAGGAGACTGGAGGGCAAGGACACAGAGAGAACACCATCCCCCAGAAGGCAAGAAACTCAACAGAGTCTCCAGGGTGCTTTTGACCTCCAGGGAAGAAACAGTCATCAGAAATCAGTACACACACACACACACACACACACACACACACACACACACACGGAAGCAGAAGCTATGGGAAGGTGGCTATGACTCCATGTGGGAGCGTGTGCTGAAGCAAAGGCTGGGGCAGAGAGTCTAAAGTCAGGGGTTCCCACTCTCCCAGTCTTTGAGAACTGAATGTTGGAGCATGTCCATCCCCAGTCAAGAACAAAGACCCCAGGGCTGTGGAATGTGCTGAGATTTACCACCACCATCCTGTCCCGCAAGTGCAGAGTGCTCTCTCCATCCCCATCAGTTAGCTGTGAACCCATCCTGTGCAAACTCTAGGAAATGTCCCAGCTCCACTGGGATGTGGTCCCACAAGGTTTCCTGGGCCACGCCTCCAAAGCCAGAGGATCCAACCTCCATTGAGAGTACCTGGGGAGACCCCTGGTGAGAAGGCTTTTGATTTGCAGCAGGAAAGGTCTAGTGACCACACAGGGCCCACTTCCCTCCATCCCTGTCTTTAACTGTTAAAAAAAAAAAAAAGCCAAACACAATTATCTGGACATTTTTTGGTTTTGTTCTGTTTTGTTTTTTAAAAAAAGAAAAAAAATGAATGAAAAGACATCACAGCCAACAAGCAGGTCTCTAAGTCTATCCAGGTAAGCCAGAAAATGCCCAGGAGGAGAGAGAGGGTGGGACAGGAGGTGTAAGGGAAGGGTGATATGGGGAGGGAGGTGGGGCCACAGGCAGCGGGTAGCTGGAAAGACAGGGTCATCCTGGTGACTTTGTGACCAGTAACCACAGTTAGGGCTCAGGCCAGGACCTCAGCAGCTCCTCATCTCCCAGCATCCTCTCCATCCAATCCAATCCTCCACACACACAATCCAATCCTACATCCTTTCTTCACTCTTAACTGCTCAAAGAGATACCCCCTCCCCACCCCCTGTCCTCAGGCCTTCATCTCCCACCGCAGAGCTTCATCTTCAAGGCAATTAATCAGAGGACCCAACACCCAGACCAGACCCAAAGATGGGCACTGCCCCTCAGTTGCTTCCCTCTGGAGAATCTGAGGAAGGAGAACAGGGGACAGCAACAGGGCTTGGCTTGAGCGTGGGGGAGGGTCTCATGAGCCTTAAGCCCCCTTCCACTCCACACCTTTCCACACTGACTAGATTGAAGAGAGGGAGAGTGGTCAAATGTTCACGACTTTCTTTCTCTCCGACTCCAAGAATGAGGTTTCTTTTCTCCTTAGGCTTCCGGTCACCTTAAAGGAACACCTCGCATGCCACAATCAGAGGAAATTAGAATGAGGCCTCCCAGGGCTGAAAACTAAAGCTGGCATGTAGTATGTTGTCAATACATGTTTTTGGATGGCTGAATGAATGAATGAATTCAAGATTGATTTGAAAACACACTGGGGCTTCCTGTTGCTACACTCAGACCTCTTGGGCTATCTAGGTCCATAGTGGGTACTCTAGGCTCAGGCTTACCCCATGGGCCATACTTGTGCCCCATAGACACACACACAAACGCACACACACATGCACACACACACACACACACACACACACACACCAAGGGAAACTTTGGGCAGGGCCGGAGGCAGAGAGCCAGGACTCAGACCAAAACTCCATGCCCGGTCAACTCTACAGCCCCCAGAGCACAGGGGCCTAGTAGGGGGCACTGAGTCCTCCACCTGCTGGCAGGCCTCACTCTTGGAAGCTGTCAGCCAGTTGGTGGCAGTCCAGTTCCCCCTTGGGTTCCAAGCCCCCTGGGAGCTTCACCCCTGTCTTCCGGTCCACACACCAGCACTTGCCACGCTGTCCATCCAGGGCGGGGTGGCACTGCCAAGAAAGGGCATGAGAACAAGAGGTCAGCTCCCAGGAAGACCCCACCACCTCCAGCCCGGCCCCCCAGATCAGACGATTGCTCTTCCAAAATGACAGCGGAAGGCAAGCGCTCTTTCTGAGCACCAGTCCCTAGAGCTCACTGCAGTAGGGAGACTTGTCCAAGGAAACGTTCTAGAGAGCTTCTTCTGGTCGGGGACCTAAGAAAGTCCTTAGACTTGAAGGCATAGAAGGACTATACAGGCTGGATTCTTTGAAGATGTTTCATTCAGCTGGGTTGTGACTGGGCTGGGACTTGAAACATGGAATTAAAGCTGGGAGCAGGATCCAAGTTGGAGTAAAGGTAGCATCTGGACCACAGCTGAAGCTGGGTTAGGGATTATGGTTAAAACACTAAAAATGTGAGCCAGGTAAAGTGGGCAGCCTAAGACAGAAGCAGTTAGGCTAGACGTACTAGCGCAATGCCTGTGACCCCAGCCCTTAGGAAGCAGAGGCAGGAGGACTGTTGCAAGAAACTTAAATCAGAATAAAGACAGAAGTCAAGGTCAGAAGAACAGAGGTCAGGCTAAACTTCAGGTCAGAATTAGACCGGGGTGGGCGTGGGGTCCAGAAGCATATTTCAAAGCCAGACTCAAAGCTGGAATGCAGATTGGCTCAAGACTCAGAACTGGTGTGGGGATAAAGAGCCAAGCGTCACAGCTTTTTTTGCTGCAACAAAAATTAAAGGTAAAAAATACATGCAGCATTATATAACATGAAAAACAAACCCCGGTATAATCCCGGTGCGTTGGACTTCAGTTAATACTTGCATCAGTGAACCCCACTACTGTTCGATACGAGTGATGAAATCAGCTGTGATGAGGGCCCAGTAGAAGGTGATTCTGCAGTCGGGTGGTGGTGGCTAATGTTTGTAATCCCAGCCCTTGGGAGGCAGAGACAGGCAGAGCTCTGTGAGTTCGAGGCCAGCCTGGTCTACAAAGTGAGTTCCCGGACAGCTAGGACTGTTACACAGAGAAACCCTGTCGGGGAGGGAGGGTGATAATTCTGCACTTTCTCCTTGTTTTTCAACAAACCCCAAAACCGTTCTTAGAAACGGTTGGGTGTTTTTGTTGTGTTGGTTTGTTTAATTGGGGGGGAGCAGTGCTGTTAAGAACTGAGACATGGAATTTGTGTTGGGATAAAGGCTGAAGATAGGTCAGGCACAGGTTCTGAGCCACCATCCCTGGCCCATCACACCCTTATCTTCCTGTGTTGGGAAGGACCCAGGACAGGAGCATCATCTTCCTAGTGAGGCCTCTGCTGGTTGAGTAGCAGCCCACAGTGAGGTTATTTCCCTAGCGGGAGGGTGACATACGTCCTTACACTCACACAACCTAGAGAAGCAGGCCAAGGCTCCCCAGACCACATTGAGCACAAGGCATTCCAGTACCCTGCCAAGATATACCACCCTCCTGATTGGGCCAGAGATGAGATGGAGCGGGCTGCTCCTGCTATATGTACATGCCAGCATGCGGGGCATTCTGAAGGAGTAAGTGAATGTGAGGCCGCTACCCGCTGCCTTCTCTCCTGATCCCTCTTTCGTCTGCTTCCAACCCCATGACTGTCTCAGGTCACTAGACCCGGCTCTACCTCCATCCTTACTGCACCCGAGAATCTGAGTTCAGCTGCGGAAGTGTGCGTTCTTTCCTCCATGACGTCTCATAACTTGGGGTCTGTCCCTAAGCCCAGATGAAGCTGCAGACATTCAGACACAAGGAGCACTATAGTTCAAAGAAGGAGGAGGGGGAGCATTGGGAGCAGGGTTTACGGCACAGATGGGGAATTCTCAAGAACTGCAAACAGCTCTGGAAGGAAGGCAAGTGGTGGTGTGGGCTGCCCAGGGCCCCTCTACTCCTTTCTGAGTCTGTCTCTCATCTTTAAAAAAATGAGATGGACAGGCCGGGCCATGGTGGCGCACGCCTTTAATCCCAGCACTGGGGAGGCAGAGGCAGGTGGATCTCTGTGAGTTCGAGACCAGCCTGGTCTACAGAGCTAGTTCCAGGACAGGCTCCAAAGAAACAGAGAAACCCTGTCTCGAAAAAAAAAAAAATGAGATGGACAGAACATGCTAAGAGTCTTAGGCTAGAAGAGGGTTGAGGGAGACCCAAACTGCTGGGTTGGATTTGGGGAGCTTCTCTTCCTATCCTGAGGGGAGCCAAGCACTCCTCAGGATGAGGCCAGCACCTCGCAGCAGGAGGGGAGACCCACCTGTTTGGGGTGGAAGTTGCCATTGCGGTCACAGTTGGGAATGGGGATGATAAAGAAGTCTTCATGGGTCCGGCTCTGCGAGGCAGCCAGTCGCTCCAGGGCCCGGTGCAGCTCACTCTGGCAGGAACCCTGGGGCTGGGGAGTGAACAACGAAACCGCTCAGCAGAAGAGAAAGGCGGGGAGACCAAGCTGGCACTCCAGCCCAGTCTACAGAGCTGGTTCCAGGACAGGTCCAAAGCTACAGAAAAACCCTCTCTCGGAAAAAAAAAAAAGGGGTCGGGAGAGAAACAAGAGGGTTAATGGCCCTGTGCAAAGAGTCAAGGCCTGGGTACTGGGCAGGGGCACAAGAAGTGAAAGCAGAAACTTAGATTCAACTAACAAGGATGGACACAAAAGCATGCCTCAAAAACAAACAGGCAGTGGTGGCACATATCTGCAGCCCCAGCACTCTGGAAGCAGAGGCAGGAGGACTATTGCAAGTTCAAGGCTACCCTGGTATAAACAAGAAGTTCTAGGCCTGCCTGGGCTACAAAGTGAGACCCCCGTCTCACAAGAAATAATCAGGAAAAAGGGGGTCAAGGGTTAAAAAGGGAGTGGTAAAGAAAAAGGCCTTGGGATTTATAGGCCTAAGCAAAAGGAATAAACAAAATAACATCTAGGTTTGCGCCCACTGGAACAATTAGTCAGACCCTAGAGGATCCCAAATCCTCTTGCTATGGCCAGCTTTTTAAACCCTTTTGTTTCTAAGATTTGGGCAGAGAATCCAAGAAAAGTTAGGTGGTAGTGGCACATGCCTTTAATTCCAGTGCTTGAGAGGCAGAGGCAGGTGGATTTCTAGGTTCAAGGCCAGGTCTACATAGTGAGTATGAGAATAACCAGATCAACACAGAGAAATCCTGTCTTCGAAAAATCAAAAAAAAAAAAGAAAAAAGAAGAAGAAGAAGAAGAAGAAGAAGAAGAAGAAGAAGAAGAAGAAGAAGAAGAAGAAGAAGAAGAAGAAGAAGAAGAAGAAGAAGAAGAAACACTAGGGAGCCTGGATCCTGCTTTTATCAATCAACTCAGCTATGCCATATTTCTGTGCAGAGCGGAAGAGGAATCACGAAGAGAAAAATGAGGCTTCTCCCTGAGCTCTTGTACACCCAGAAAGCTCTGGGGTGTGCTGGGTGAACATAGCCCAGATCTAGTAATGGGATTTCTGTAAGCATACATCTGTGGGTCAGAGGTGCTCACCACAGGACGGGGTTCCTCCCGGGCTGTTCCCACGACTTTCATCTTGCTCCGGTCTCGCATTTTGGCCATATGCTTCTGCAGGCACCTATGATCGTGGGCACTGCAGGGGTTGAAGCTGTTGTTGGGATGGTCGCTCTCATCCTTGTCTGTAGGCCGTGGGGGGAAAGGCAGAGGTCAGCATCAGAAAAGAACAGAGGTTTACACTCCCCCAACCTCCCACCTGCTTCCTCCTGCATCAGGAGTCTCCATAGCACCACAGAGCCTCTGTTCAGAAGAAATAGGAGCAGCCTCCAGCTCCACCCGACTCCTCTGGACGTCTTTGGAAGAATATTCCTCTTGAAGTCCTTGACTTGTTCCTCACTCCACCCAGTTCAGGATTCAGATAAGTCACCAGCTGCAGTAGCCCAGATGGCAGGGGGGATCCCTTGGGCCCTGCAGGGAGGTCTGAGGCAGGCAGTGGGAGGGGGGACTACTGGATCTTCTACCAGCTCTGTTCAGCTCCTCCCACCAACCTCCTCTCCATCTGCTCACTCTTCCGGTCTCCTTCCCTGCTCTTTCAGCATCTGGCTGAGCCTGCCAGGGATCCCTAGGGCCAAAATCATATTTTCCATGAGCGAGGAATCTGGCCCCAAAGGTTCTCCCACTGTCTGGGTCTGTTAGTGTGTGTGTCTGCATGAGAGAGGGAGGGGGGGAGAGGAGAGAGAGAGAAGAGAAAGGACAGAGAGAGAGAGAGAGAGAGAGAGAGAGAGAGAGAGGAGAGAGAGAAGAAAAAGAAGAAGAAGAAGAAGAAGAAGAAGAAGAAGAAGAAGAAGAAGAAGAAGAAGAAGAAGAAGAAGAAGAAGAAGAAGAAGAGAGGAGAGAGGAGGGGAGGGGAGAGGGGAGGGGAGGGGAGGGGAGGAGAGACTGTGGCCCCGGAGCAAAGAAAACAGCCACCCACATTCTCCAGCCTCGACCCCTAGGTCTCACATCTTTAAACGTGAGGCATCATTCAATGTCCATGTGAGTCACCCAGAAACAGGAAAAGGGCTATCTGGAAATTCAAATCATGAATCTGGACCCTATCTCCGTGGCCCCTCCTAAAGGTTTTATGTGAGCTGCTCCATCCAGCAGGTCCCGCACTGTGACCATGCTGCTCCCTTCTGGCAGCCAGGGCCGGAATGCAAGGCTGAGCAGGGGAAGGAGGTTGGAAAAACTTCTCAGCACATCAGAACCACCTCTGAAATGCTCAGACTTGGCAGCTCAATGCAGGCCCAAGAGCAGAGCCCCTGCCAGCATTCCAGATGTTGGCAGGCCGACAGGAGGTTACATCTGGTTTGCCTCAGGACTTTTTTTTTCCTGAGGAGTTAGCAGGTTCCTCCATACATGGCAACAGTCCCAGAGCTGCCTCTGGGTCAAATGGTATTTTTCTGCCTAGCCAAAGCTGGGGAGTTGGTTTTTGTTTTATCCTTCTGGTTTGCGAGACAAGGGAAGGGAAGCATGCCGATGAAGGGACACCAGGCAAGGAGGGATCTATACCATTTATATATATAAACTGTTAAGATTCCATACCAGAATAAAACTGACTCACCAGGGATTGGAGATTTTTGACGTGCTAGTGTAGAAAATTAAAGGACAGAAATAGGTAAAGCAGATAGATACAGCCATCCTTCTGCAGATGTGACAGAAAGATAGTCCCAAGGGGGCCCCCGGCCCTACATCAAGCTTGGGAGAGTCAGCTGAAGAGGATGGATGGCAGTTCTGAGAGTCACATGACATAATCAGTCTGTTTATTCTCTCTGATTGGCTGTCTTTTCACAGTCAGAATGCCTTTGCACAGACTTCTCTGGTTCTTTTTGGTAAACATGAGATGTTTTTAGGATCAGAGTTCAGGGATTAAAGAAGAATTTGAGGCAGGGATGGCGGGTGGGAGGGAGAGGCAAGAATTCTACCCCTAAACTACAATACCAGCCCCACTATCTCTTTTTCTTTTGTTTTGAGATAGGGTCTCATATAGCCCAGAGAGGCCTTACTCAAACTTGCTGTGTAGCCAAGGCTGGCATTGAATTCCCCTTTTCCACCTTCCCTGTCCAAGTATTGGGTTATCGGCAGGCGCCGCTACAACTGGCTCCCAGCCCTGATGTCATTTTTCAGTTTTGTTTTAGGAGCTTTTAAAGAAAGGAGTTGTCTCAGCAGCTTGGGAGCGAGGTATGATGAGCTTTGATATGATGGGCCTTCAAGAGTCCAGAGGAAGATGGCCCGAGACTTGACAACACTTCCGCTTCCCAGTGTGGTGCTTCTGTGAGTAGAAGCCAACAGTGAGGAGTCCTTGGGGGCTTATCCATGGGTATTTGAGATATTCGCCATTAATGAGAGCAATTGAATAGCTCGTTGAAGCCTAGAACTACATGGGGCATAGAGTGAGCCTAGAAGCATAGCTCATGCTGATGTCAGAATTAAATGGTCCCATGTCGTAGAAGGGCTTAACTGGACATAGCTGAGCATGGCTGTTTCCATGGCCTAGCCCAGTGACCCATGGTTCAAATCTACACTTAGAGTAAAACCCACGATTTTAGGAGAGTAGCTTCTAATCGGTCTTGGGGTATAACACAGATTATGTCCACATCCACCCACCACACAGCACACAGAACCACAAATGTTTATGAACAACCACATGTCCAGGCACGTGCTTTTCCAGGTGTGCACACCTCCACCCACTCAAGTACTCTGACCCTACTCTGGCCAAAAACACAGACCAGGCCAGGACATACTAACACCCCAGTCTCTCTGGCCACGGTTTGTTGACTCTCCATTTAATCTGTAACTTTTCCTTGTCCGTCCATGCGTACCTGGAGAGTCCACCTTTAGGTACGGAGCTTGAGCAGGCCGGAAGATGGGGGGTAGTGCTGAGCCTCTCAAAAACATTAACTTGCTAGCACTGTCAGCTTCTAATGCCTTCTACCAAACGCCAAATACTCCTGAGCAGGAGCTGGAGGCAGACCCCTCCTTTTGGGGGCGCTGCAAGAAGCTTGTCTAGAAAGTGGAGCTGCCAAAGCAGAGCAGGTCTCCTCCTCTAGCTCCTGCATGGAGCGTGTAGAGTTGGGCATACTGCCAGCCAGCCATGGCACAAAGTCTTGCTCCTCGCTCCATAGCAGAGCAGGGCAAGGGGCAAGCCCCCAGGGAGAAGCTGTGTACAGTTCTGGCCCCAGGAGAGGCAAAAGATCCTGCTGCCTAACTTCACCTCCATGATTTCTCCTCAGGACCAGCCCCTGACCCCTCCAAGTCACACAGGCTAAGAACTGAGTGGGTCCTGCCACCCAGACTGAGATGTTTCAGCCATGCTCTAGAGAGTCACCCACCTGCCCACCAAAAATGTCTTTCTCTTCCTTCATCCCCTCGACCTTGACTGAAAAATCGAAGACCGCCCATGACAGACCCCAGGTTTCTATGAGATTTTGATCAAGGAGTGCCTTTTACTGTTGTTTCCTACTGCTGTTGGCCTCTAAGGAGACAAGAAACCCTGCAAAAACGACCAACGCTTCTCCACCCCCGTGACTCTCCCTCACCCTATGCTCTGTAAAGTCTCTTAGCCTCTTCAATCACACCCTCATCACCACTCCAAATTGACCTTACACTCTGTATCAGACACCTCAAAATGACGAGGCATTTGACCGAGAGGGAAACTGAGGTAGAAAAGAGGAAGGGAGACTCGTCTTTGGCCGCTTTAAGCATCAATAATTTGGGCTTCGTCGGTATTAAAGAAAAACACTAGGCAGCCATGTTCTCCCTCCCCTCTTCCCTAAAGCACAGGATGTTTGGGAAGACCCAGTTTCCATGACATGACTAGATTCCCAGTACCAAAGTGGGACAATATTTGCTGTGTTGACTAAAAATTAACCCAGCCTGCCTGTTCCCTAACCCTGTCCCGGAGGGACCTAGTGCTTGGTTTAGGAACTCCCTGTCCCAAGCTTGACCTCCCCATTGAACATTCTCTTGAATTTCAAGAGTCGAGGGTCAATATCATGATATGAAATTGTAGACTTATGACGCATGCACCTGACCCCATCTCTGGTAGCCTTGGTAGTGCTGATCCCCAACCTGTTAGAAAGGAGAACAGGGCAGGCTGGGACAACATGCCGCTATAAAAAATAAAAAGGAGAGCTTGTGCCAAAGAACCACTTACTTAAATCATCTGCCGAAGCTCCGACCCAAGAGCAAAGAGCAGAAAGAATAGACTAACACCCTTCACCAAAGTATTTCAGGACATGGGTCCCAAACCTGGAGACCACAAAGGACAATGGTCCATTGACAAAGTAAGGTGAGGTAGGGACTGAGCCTTGCTCCATCTTTCACCAGAGACCCTGCATGGCCTTTGTACAGTTCTATGGGTACTCCTCCCATGATGCAAAGGTGTCAGGCCATGACAAGGAAGTACTAGGAAGCATTGGCCATAGCTTGCCAATCGAGTGTCTAATGTTAGCCAGGTGGTGGTGGTGCACACCTTTAACCCTGGCAGTGAGGAGGTAGAGGCAGGCAGATCTCTGTGAGTTTGAGGCCAGCCTGGTTAGCAGGGTCCTTATGGTTTCTGATCTTCCCTCTTCAGATAGCTGCGTCCATGATGGGCAGAAGACAAGGTCGGGAAGTGGGAGGAGAATTAGTGACTTGAGACCCGAAGTCCAAAACAGACCATTTCCAGACTCCTCTAGAAGCCTCACATCCACAGAACAATCAGAAACCGTGCCAGGAGTTCCGAACCCCCCCGAGGGGATCCGGTTTTCCTCCACAATGTAGGGATGCTTCTATTCAACCAGAAGAGAAGGCTCTTGTAGATCTCTTCTGGTTCGTGCTCAAGTTGGGAAGAGAGGAGACTACCAGCCACCCTCACCCGCTGCTAGATGCCCACTAAGCTGGTAGACAGCAAAGACTCGAAGTGGGCACCCTAAACATTCAGCCCTGTCTCCTGCTCTCACTGCCCCCAAGATCAAGGAATCACTCTCCCGGGACCCTCCTCCCCCTCCAGCAACGCTGGGTGCCAGGCTGGCATTTCTCCTAGACTGTTTCTGCTGACCCAACTCTCCTTGCTCAGGGGCAGGAAGGGCAGAGAGGCACCCCTGGGGTCCACCTCCTTCCTGTTTTCCCTGCATCCTGCTTTCCTCAGACTAATAAGTTGCTGAGGGTTGAGGAAGTGGACCGGTCTGGGACCCAGAGCAGGAAGCTTGGGGCCTAAGTCCCAGCATCCGGACTGCAACAATGGAAGAGTGAGCGGCAGGAAAAGGGAGAAGCCCAGACTGCGGCTCAGCGGCTCAGCGGCTCAGCGGCTCAGCGGCTCAGCGGCAGCAAGGCTGTCCCAGAAGGGACAATCACCAGAGTCGGGGATACAGACAGGCACAACAGTCACCAAGAGAGACAGCAAAAGAGCACCTGAGTCTGAGGTAAAAGAGAGAGGCCAGCAGAAAAGCAAACTAAAGCAGAGCGAGAGAAGGAAACCTATGGAACTCGGGACAGCGAGAGGAAAGAGAACGCGGGATTGTTTGGTGAAACTAGAAGTTGGGCCACACAGCAGGAAATACCAAAAGAGCAAGAGAAGGATTCTCAGAAGAAACTGAGAAAGGCCGAGAACAGGGAAAGTAAATACAAGATCAGCGCAAGGAACACTCTGAAAACTGTCTACTTGTCCATCTGTCCCTCCTCTCCTCTCAGCCCATACAATCCCAAGATTTCTGCAGCTCTGGGCTGCCAGCCAGCACTTCCCTCCAGTCCCCTCAGATGGCACCTGCCGGGAGGAAGGAACAAGAAACCTGGATGTTCCAGCCTGGCAGAAAGAGCCCTGCCTTCCACTGCTTCTGGGGCCTTCCAGGAAGCACAAATCTCTTTCTTTACTATCGGAGTCCCTCGGATTTGTATGCCCCACTTCACCATAAGGTGACGATAGAAAAGTCCAGGCCCTGGTACCTCACACCTTTGGGTGTCACCAGAAAATGGGTGTGGAGCAGGCCCTGGATCAGGAACAGAAAGGGACCCCCCCCCCCAACACACTACACACACACACACACACACACACACCATCCTTATCGTAGTTTTCTGGCAAATGTAACGGAACCGGGTCATTTAACTTACCATAATCGCCTCAGGAGCCAGGCTTACCATTGAGACGGAGGCCCCGCTTCCCAAAGAAGGGAGGTTTGAGCTGAAGGGATGGTACCAGGTTCCCCTTGACCAGTGGCAACTGGCACTGGGATTCAGTGCCAGTTTTCAGGCTCTGCCACGTACCTCCCTTCTCCTCAACTCACTGGGAGCTTTTATGGGCCTCCCAGGCCAACCCGAATGGGAGCCAAGTGGCAAGGAGGAGGGCTCTTGGGAAAGGTGACAAAGGAATGGTAGGTATGCCTTACCAGAGGACTGCAGGCTTTCCTGGATGGCCTCGATCTCCGACAGCTCCGTGCACACGCCCTGCCCGTGCATCAGTGTGCGCAGGGGCTTCTCCACTCCCCGGGGCGGGTAGCAGCGCATACCTGAGCCACAGCGTGGGGTGTACACCCCGCAGGGCATCCCCAAGCCCAGGGCACAAGTGGCGCAACAACCGCAGCCAGGCTCCCGCACCAGCTCCTCGCAACCCACAGGGGGGCGGCAGCGCGCCAGTTTCTCCTCGGAGCAGGGGGGGCAGTGGATGGCTTCGTCGCCCAGGCTCGGCAGAGGCCCTGCGGCCAACAGCAGGGCGGCCACGAGGCCGAAGGGCAGCATGGTGAGGACGAAGATTGGGCACAGAAGGGGAGCGCGGAGTCGCGAGCGGGCTGCAAGGGACCCGGAGGCAGCGCCCAGGGCGCTAAGTGGACCAGACCCGGAGGGCGTGGGGACACGGGGCGGCCCCGGCAGGCAGGGACGGAGCTGGGGAAGTTAGCAAGCACGCTGGAGCGGAGCGAGCCTGGCCACCCAGGCGCTGCGCTGCATCCTCGGCCCGGCCCAGCAGGCGGCGGGGGCAGGGGGCTGAGCGGCTGCCCGGGACCGGCTCTCGGGACTTTATACCGGCCCCCTGGCCACACCCCCAGCGCCGTCCCTGAGGTGGGAGAGCAGAGGCGGGTGAGGGGGAACTGGAGCGGGAGAAGAGGCCGTTAGGGGGAGGGGGCGCTGGCCTGAGTCACAGCCACCGCTACAATATCTGAAAGTCCTTTGCTCTGCAGGGAAAAAAAAAAAAAAAAAAACAGCGCAGTTTGGAAGCGGTGGCCAGCGTGCAAAAGGCCTCTGAGCCTCTGAACCAGAGCCCTCGCGGGGTTGGGGGAGGCAGGGCGAGGAGAGGCGAAGGGGGTGCTGCTTGGTTCCCTTCCTCGACCTCGAAGGATTCCTTCCCAGACACCTAAGCAACCCTTGAGAACCTGACCTCTTAGCCGACTCAAGGTCCTTGCGTTCAGTCACCTTCCTTGGCCGGAGGCGGCCACCCTACCCCACTCCCTGGCACGTTCAGTCTCGAGCTTTGGAGACCACACTGTGTGAGGTGGGGCAAGCACTCTTATAAGGGGTTCAGGAGAGCTCCGGGCTTGAGGCGCCGACAGGCAGCCGTCTTTTCACTAGCCCCTAGAACCTCTGCCGCTTGACCCCCCGCCCCAGGTTCCATTTGTGTCTTGCTGCACTCTGTTTCCAGAACTCCAGGACAAAGAGCCAAGCCTCTTCCTCTTTCTTAGATGTTTTCACCTCTACTGCCTCGTTTAGATTCTGGAAGGAGACTGGCCTACAAGACTGACATTGGCCACGTACCCAGACGTACGTTGAACAACCCCAGGGGGGCACCGCTCTTTGTACTCATTGTGTAATTGTACGGTTATTGTGACCCTTTCCCAGTAGGTGGCAGTCAAAGATTTCCAGAAAGGGAAGCCTCTTAATTTTCCCGATGCCACTTCGCTCCTGGGTGACATCCTATTGATAAGCGTATCTATTCCCTACCCCTCGCAGTAATCCTTCTGGAAGTGGGAACAGATCTAGAGACCCACCTCCTACCTTCTTTCTCATTTCTCCCTACGCCTCTTCATCCTCCCCAACTTTTCTTTCTGTCTGTCCGGGCATCATCGGAGGCCCGGTGGATTTGAGGGGTAGATCGGATCGGGAGGGTCTTGCCTAAACATCTAAGGAGAAGCCAAACTAAAGTATAGCTCCTAGATCTCTTCTTGCTCTTTGTCCCTGGGCAAGGGTCTTTCAGCTGCGGGATTAGGCCACCTCCCACTTTCAGCAAAAGTACAATGTTGGCGCGTTTGGAGGAAGAAAGGCGCCAAGAGCTGGACCTGGAGGACAGACCAAAAAGTTGCGAACTGACGGCACCTACTGGCAACCCTTAGGACTGCAGGAGGGCTGACGTGTTAGGGCCGGAGACAGGGACTCTCAGTCACATCTCAAGGATCAGGTTGGATCCCTCCTGTCCCATCTGCCTTGGAGAAAGGTAAACAGAACAGGTTCTTCAAGCTCCTGGGAGGAAGCCAGCGTTTCTCTAATTCAAAAACCAGTCCCTGCCCCCACTCTCTTCCTTAAATCCAGTCGGCCTCCTACTTAACGGATAAACTTGAAGTTTATTTCTAGCTAAAAGGAAGGCTGAGTATCACCCCCCTCTTCCACCTCTTGGAACCTTTGTGGGAATAAATGGACCAATAAGGGCAGTTTTGAAGCCCAACTTGCTGTCCAGACAGCAAACCCAAGATGGGTAGAAACCCTGGGATGAAGCCAGCCTGGGATGAAGTACAAGGTGCTGTGGAAGGTGGGCATTCTGTACAGGTTTCTAGATGACACCGATGCCCCCACTCTGTCTCAACCCGAGCGACTGCCCCCAACCCATCCTCTGGTGTCCTCCCCGTCACTGCCTAGACCCTTTCCCAGGAAGCCAGAGACCAAGAACTGCTGTCCACATATGGCGTGCTCACGAAGCACCTGTTGCTCCAGGACTTTGTGCTTTGTCTTGAGAATAAAGAGATGACCAAAACCACTCTGCCTCAAGGAGAAAGAAGATGAGTGTGCAGTGGAAATAAGTGTTCTAAGACGTGCACAGGTGCCCTGGGGGATATTTACACGGGACACATGGGGACCCAGAGGCACGAGCGATCAGTTCTATCTCTGGGGCATGAGAAGTATTCGCTGAAGAGGTGACCTGAGACCACGCCTTCTGTGCTCAAGACTAAAATAAAACTGGCATTGGCATGGTCAGACTAGATTATCAATCCGGAATTGTCACTTGGACCTCACTAGGGACCCTGAAGCTCTCTGAGCTTTTGGGGCTTGTCTAGCAAAAGAGACTCTGCAATAAGAGCCCCTTGAGGGAAAGGCCTGAAATGAAATGGACACCATGAATTTAGCGCCTTCCTAGACCTCCCCTGCTAGGAACTCATTCCAGATACCAGGAGCTCTCCTGATGACAGGACTGTGTCCTCGCTCCCCGTCACACACACTGAACTGGAGACTCTTAGGGTGGAATGTGGTCAGGGAGTAGGGAGAAGTGGAAGAGTCAGAGCCAGGGCCCCTGAGTGTAAGCTGCAGCAGAGCCCATTAACGGTATACGATCCTGGATCCGGCACTTAACATCTTTTCAAAAAAGATTTATTGGCCTAAAAAGAAAGACAGAAAGGAAAGAAGGAAAGAAAGAAAGGAAGAAAGAAAGAAAGAAAGAAAAAATGCCAGCCAGGAGTGGCACACACCTTTAATCCCACCACTTGGGAGACAGAGGCAGGCAGATCTCTCAGTTCAAGGCCAACCTGGTCTACAGAGTGAGTTCCAGGACAGCCTGGGCTACACAAAGAAACCCTATCTCTAAAAAATAAAAAATATAAAAGTTATTGGTATTTATTTAGTTATTCATTCATTCATTCATTTTGAGGTGGGATCTCATGTAGCCTTTGCTAGCCTGGAAGTCACTACATAGACCATGCTAGCCTTAAACTCATAGAGCTTAAACTCCACCTACCTCTGCCTCTTGAGTGCTAGCAATGAAGGCATGTGCCCCCAAGCCCAGGTAATTTTTATTAATTATGTGTGAGTGTATGTGTAATGGTAAAAATAAAATGGCACCATTCCCCGAGGGGCGGCAGCAGGCAGTGGGCCATGAGGGGCAGCGGGTCCCAGGCAGGAAGCTGTGCAGAGGGTGAGAGACAGAGAAAGATAGGCATACCAAGCAGAGTGAGGTTGGATACACGTATTTAGTGGGTTATGGAAGGAAAGAGGAAAGGGAAGAGGGAGAGAGAAGGGGGAAGGGGAGAGAGAGAAAGAGAAGCAGAATTGGGGGAGGAGAGGAGGGAAGGGGAAGGAAGATCCACTTGCCTCTGCAGATGGTGGTGGTGGGGATGGGGAGCAGGGCTTGTCTCTTAAAGGGACAGGACAGACCATTATTGTGTGTGTGTGTGTGTGTGTGTGTGTGTGTGTGTGTGTGTGTGCAGGTACCCACAAAGGCAGAGGCCAGAGGTGTCAGGTATCTTAGAGCTGGAGTTACTGGTGTCATAAGCCACCTGAGAACTGGTTCTGGGACCTGAACTGGAGTTCCCTGGAAGCTGAGCCATCTCTTTCCAGGTCCTCACTTAACATTTAAATGGGGTAATTTTCATCTCTGAAGAAATGAAGGAAGGGGGAGGGGTTAACAGAGGGGCAAAATACTTGGGCTCAGCCACAGAGAATGGTTAGAAGAAAACATGATTGTCCATGCCGGCTACTCCCAGCACCGAGGATAGGCCAGCCTGGGTTATACAGTACGACTCCACCACCAAGGATAGGCCAGCCTGGGCTATACAGTACGACTCCACCACCGAGGATAGGCCAGCCTGGGCTATACAGTACGACTCCGACCATGACCACTCTCAAGAAAGAAGCCTGAATTCCATGAGCAGAGCTAAGGGCACAGACCCTCATTGCTGGTTCTTCCACCTGACTGCTGCCTCCTTGTGGACTGGAGGCTCCATAATGAACCTTGAGCCTCTGGGAAGCAAAATGCAATCCTATTTCAAACTCAATCCTGCTGTCCTGTTATCTTTCCTGGGCCAGAGCCTGCACACCCTTGTCAGTCCCTGCTTCCAGAGAGTGGAGAGAAGACACTCCACCTGGAGCACAGAACTGAGAAGACACTCCCCCTGGAGCACAGCTGAAGAGACTCCTCCACCACCTTTCAATCCCTCCCGCCCCCTTCTCACTGGCTTGTTGATAGAAGGTCTCATCAGCAGCCTTACTGGGACAATCCCAGACTTCTGCCGACCTTAGAGAAAACACTCCTTTGAGAACAGATGCGGGGGAGAGGGAGAATCTCAACTCCAATAAAGACAGAGTTCTAGCTGGCTACGGTGGCGCACGCCTTAAATTCCAGCACTTGGGAGACAGAGACAGGAGATTCTTCGTGAGTTTGAAGCCAGCCTGATCTATATAGTGAGTTCCAGGATACAAGGGCAACATAGTGAGACCCTGTCTCAAAAAAAAAAAGTTCTGTTCTCTGTACTCAAGGAACACCCAATCTGATAAACTTGCCCTAGGGGGCATCTTGTCTGATGGAGTGGGCAAGATATATAATTATGAGAATTAGCCTGTAACTATCACAGACCGTGTCACAAAAGCTTCACGGAGGAGGAAAAGTGAGGCACGAAGGGATTACGTAACTTACTTAAAGTCACACAGCAAGTATAGGGACAGAGATGTGAAGCTAAAGCTGTCTCGCTCCCATCTGCACAATTAGCTGCTGGACTCCACCGCTGCCTCAGTCAACTGTCAGAAACACTCTACGGGAACATCAAAGGCAGAGGCCTATGACACAGAGTTCAAGCCAAGCATGCAGGTCAGGTAGCAGTGGCATTGATATGAGACTATGCTCCAGGCCTCCTTAGATCTTTGCTTTCCAGTTGACTCCTAACTGTCCTGTGCTTTACTGTGCCTACGCTAACCCCTTCACATCCGCGGACATCTAAGTGATAGGGCATCCCCGTAGCTACCCCACACGTGGGCCAAGCAATAGCATATCAGGACAGCCTTCTTCCTGCCCACTAGGACTCCATGCTCGCTGAGCCTTAATC